TTTTTTACCTGTCTGAGAGGTTACATTAAATTTTGACAGATGAGGGAGGTAATTGGTCACTTTCCTTTCTGAAATTAGAACGGAAAAATTTATTTTCTGTTAGGATCGTAGAAAAAATACATTACGATATATATTCGATAACCTAAAAAAAGCTTACTGTATGAGAATACAGTACTCATTTCGCATTTCTCATTCGGTCTTATAACGTAAATTATTATTTTTCTAATTTGCGTTTATAATACGTTTATTACCGTCTCCAGTAGGAGTCGTTTATGGCTATCTATAAAAGCACACTGTAGTTTAATGAATTTAGGGTTATTTAGTTTTTGGATGCCGCTTGCGTTGTTGCTTCGGCAATTTCGCGAATTTCGGGCGGAGTGCAAACTACATTCTGTTTCTCATATTTCATTTATTATTATTATGTTGTAACACTAATAACTAATAATTTGTAAATTTTATTTTTAATGACAGACGGCAGAAATGACTCAAAAAAACAGGTGGGCGCCGAGTGTTACCAACCGACACCAACTAACACAAAATTCTCTAAGCGACAAAAATATATATTTTTTTAATTAAAATAAGAAAAAAGGGGACGCAAATTAGAAAAAATAGTATAAAATACTCGTTTTATAATGGCATTGGCGCACTCATCCCATAGAAAACTCGTCTACGGCTCGTTTTCTAACTTGGGATTCGTGCGCCAAATCAACCCTTATAAAACTTGTTCTTTAATATACTATTTTGTCGTTCCATGTTGTTATAGTATACTATAAATAACATTCAAAAATTTAAATTCGTTAAGCTGTCAATATCACCCTAGTATCATCACACAGGACTGTTAAGAGGTTTTAACAGCCAGACTTTTGCTTTTATAGTTTAAACTTTCAAATATTAACATTTTCAGAATTTGAAAATTATATTTTTTTTAATACGGTCAGCAGGCCTCAAACAAGTCCCTCGATCATAATAATGTTCTTAATTGCACTAAATACGTAAATAACGTCGAAGGCAATATATCTTGGTCGTCACTAAAAAATTATTATTTTACATCAGAAATTTTGTCATTTACATCGATTGTCTTTCTATTATTGCTAATATTAAAGCACACATTTCGAATTATACAAAAAAAAGTTCGGCAGAAAATCACGACTAAAACTGCATGCGACTGTTAACTATAATAAACTTTAAAAAAATTGAAATCTTTCTTAATTTAATTTATCTAATTAAGACTTAAACTTGTCTGTAAATTCTTAGTTTGATAGTCTATTGTTTTTGTAGTACATTAGATAACGAAAAAATACCAAAATGATAGAAAAAAAACCTAAATTAGTAAAAAATATGCAACGTGTGTGAAAAAAAATACGAAAATTTTCCACTAGCCCTCGCCTTGGGCGCGATTAATGGCGGAATTAATTGTTGGGACAGGCGATGTCTGTGACCGGAAACACAATTTGAGCGTAAACACCGAACTTGAATACTAATCAACTCGTCTTTAATCTCCACCATCACCGTAATGAAATGATTTTACCGGTCCTTGCCCGGATGTGACGGCATCAGTGTCGCACTTTTCAGGTTCTACACACATCTGGTGCCACCCTCCAGTCCCTGAACGAACAGATTTTATAGCCCGTTTCCGTTGCAAACACCCAAACAAGAGAGAATTTCGCGTCCAACATCTTCATTAATTAGGGGGCCGAGTAATTATTCGATTTTCTCCTTCAAAACCCGAATATCTCAAAAATTGAGAGATCAATTAATTTATCAGAGGCGACTCGTAGCCTAAATTAAAAAAAACGGAAAAGTGTAATATAAATACGTCGACAAAGATTTAGAAACTGTCAAGAATCAGAGCCCTTTATTATCCATTTTTGAATTATTTATTTTTTCGGTACGAAGCATGTGTTTTTCGTAAACGAGTCGCCACTGTTCATAATGAAGTATCCGGTAGATTTTGAAGTCGCCAAAGAGTCGTTTCCTGGATCTCTTAGTTTTATTGTTGTGGCTGCGCTTATAATGGATGAGGCGAAAATAAAAAACACACAAAATACGGAAAAGATATGTTTAGCATATGTGGCCGGAGGGACAAGGCGTTGGGTTGTTGACCGAGTATAAAAACTGAGCCTGGGGCGGAATCATCTATCTGCTAAGTCCACTACTATCTTCTATTACACAGCCATGTTCAGGTAAAATTATTCTCAAAGCAGATGACCATTTTCTCTCTTTATCGCACCAGGAAAGCGTCCATTGGATCAGAAAAAGACAGGAAAGGTGACTTAAGGCCAGTTGATACAAGAATAAGGGAGCAGGTGGCGCTCAACATACTCCTCGTTTTTCCATTTTGTTATTAACAAGTGAAGGACGACTAGAGTTCATCCACTTGTACAATTCGAAAAATTCGCTGGCAACATTAAAATTGTTGGATAAAAATCGCTCAGGGGGCAGCACTTAACGATCATCGCAGTAAACTTGTAACTGTTGACACTTATCCACGAGATGTCGCCGAACGACTTAAGTCACAATTTTTTGATTTGTGGCGGTTATATTATAATAGGTTGGTTACTAATTGGCCTCAGAGGATGTACACAAAATAACAATATCGTATATAGTTATTTATCAAAGTTTAATTGGTTGCTCTGCGGGTACGATAAATTAAAATTTTTCGCTGGCTCTCCATACCTGTATAATGAGAACTCGTAATTTTATATGGTCGAGCATATCTCACATCTTTGTGAGTAGCGTTTTTTCGATGGGAAAGAAGGGAAAAAACCCGATTGTAAATCTCCACTTACTGAAGAAACCAGTATTTGTTAAGGTACTGCGAAAACAGTGCGTCCTTATTTGACGCACTATATGAAAGAAGATGAGCCGATCTTAAGAACTAAATAATATAAAATGATCCGTCATTGAATTGCACCTGCTCGAGTTCTTGAGGTCACTCGAAACGGGTTTGAAACGTGTATGTAGAAGTCGCTTTGTATTAGCAGCAACGGTGGGTGACCAATTGACCATTACCACTCCAACCCATTAAATTTATAGGCCAAATTCATGACTTTGACCGAAAACAAAAAATTACTCTTTCGGTCTTTCTCGCGGACGCCAATCATAAGTATGATTTTTAACCGTTTAAAAACAATTAAAAAAAGCAACAGGTGTCTAAAGTGCTTCCTACGTAGGCAACCAGTTATACACTCATGTATAATTTCCGGCCTACATTACAACAGCACTGATCAAAAATCAAACTTTAAATTTTTGTTATAAAAAAAATATAAAAAGAGTTTTGTAAAAGCAATAATGTTACCTAACACAAATCATTTATATATGACAAATTAAGTTGTGCTCAACAAATTAATAAAGAAAGTTTGAATTAATTTGTCTAATAATCTTAGAAAAACATGATAAAAAAAAACATTTCAAATGTTTATTATTTTGAATGCAAACACAAAATATACTAAAAACCTAAAAAAAATATAGATACAGGATGAGTCATTTTTAATAAAGACCGATCCTAACCGATTTTCAGACGCAATTCAAAATACATTCTCACAGATAACTTGGCTTTTGCTGATTGAAAAAAAAAACAAAGTAGTTGTTAATTAATGACATAATTAAAAACAGTGTCATCATTTCCACATTTTTTCCCTTAAATTTAAAATATACAGGTGCGCCAGAACTCACGCCCCAGAGAAAACTGCCATGTAAGGTTAGATACCAAGAACATGGAAAAATGTTACAAAGGATGTATCTATAAAAATTTAGAAGTTATGAGAGCTTAAATTTTGCACCTTGACTACATTTACTTCTGTTGGAAAATAAAAATGTTCCCAGTCTTTTTGCTACAGACTATTAGGAGAGAAAACAAGGTAGCTGTATTCTAAATTTTAACTCTGATGTTATTTGTGGCTTTTATTGGCAAAATTTTTGTACCTTTACTAAACTTTTTTTTAACATTTTTTCCATGTTCCTGATATCTTATCTTACTTCTTCTTTCTGGGACACGAGTTCTGACACACTCTGTATCCAAACGGTGAACTAATTGGCTAAATCTGTACCGTCAAAGATACACTGTAGAACTCAAATTTATAAAAACTGTCAAAGCTATAACAGGTATCTATCTATGTTTATATCTTTGCAAAAATGTCAAACAGTATATCAACTAACGCATAGTGGTATCTGAGAATGTATTTTGGGTTGCGTCTGAAAATCGTTTAAAGTCTTTATTATAGGTGACTCAGCCTGTATATGTATATTTTTTAAGAATAGAATATAACAAAATTTTTGGAAACGAAAAAATTCTAAAATTAATTTAAAAACACAAAAAGTGGTATTTTATTGTAGCACCTTTGGAACAAAATAAATTGAAAAGAGTCTTTTATAACTTGTATACAGCTTTCTATAAAAGTTATATAGTTATGTTTTAATAAATAAAAATGCGCTCTTAAGAAATTCGTTATCAGATTGTCTGCAACATAAAATCGTAAATTTTCAGATAACGTGTATACATAGCTATCAAATTAAAATAAAAAAGTGAAATAAGCAGTATTAGCAGATGCGTAGGTGTGTCAACTCAATTCGAGAGACATTCCCAGAACCTCGACCTGTCCTAAACCGGAAGTACTTGGAACCGATACAGATTCGTTGGTTTAATTACCAAAAAAAGAAGCTAAACTCGATCCTTTACAATTAAGCCGGCAACAGGATATAAAACAGGTTCCAATGTACTGCCTCGACCCCCACATTTATTGCAATATCCAACTATGTCTTTGTTAACTCCTGGAATCTGGCACAACCGGAATTTTTATCATTGTTATTTGCGTTTGAATCATCAACGTCTGGCACTTATGTAACCACAAATGCTAAATAGTATAAACGGCAACATCCTCATTAATGCGAAATGCGTAAGCCCCGCCACTGACATTAATTAAACCGCATCATGTGGAATAGAGATGAAGAATATTGTGAAAGACCTAATTAATTTAATTTCTTCGAGTCTTCTTACTTACCGAGTGAAGCCTCTGGATCGGACAGGTCGCTGATGGAAGGGACCTTCTGGATGGAGCACAGCGATTGGGGCGTTTGGGCCTCATCGTTGTCGTCCACCAGCTCCGTTTTCATCGTTCCCAAAGTGACCAAATCCACATCGTCGCTCTGAAACCACCCCCAAAGCGTTAAACTAGCTGTCTATTCGTGTTTAACTGGTTGCATAACCGTCACATTCGTAGCATCAATAACAATTAGCCGAAGAAAGTAAATAAACAGAGTTTTATGAATGAACTGGTAGGAGTAGAACACGCGGCCTTGCTTTGCTAGACATGAATGAATGGACGTGTAACAAGTCGTTGCGTAACGCTGATCATTGCAGCTCCTGTTTGCTGATAAGCTGCGATTTCCACATTGATGTTAACCGGAGATTTATAGCTGTGTTCCACCCTCCCCTAACCCAGATTCGGCGGATTAGTCAAGATGTTGGTTGGTGTAAAATTGGGTTTAGAACTCGCGAAGATTGACATGATCTATCGAGTCGTTTCGATTGTGTGATTTTTGCCAGATGTGCTCTTGTTGGAGTTAACGGCTGCAGAGGCCAAACATGGCCATTGCGATTCCTGGCTCAAGTTCAGCCAAGGCTATTTCTAGACAGTGCACCGTTATTATGATAGAGTTGTGCACGGGCGAGCTCAATGTTCAGGTGACAAAGGATTTACTACGGGAAGGAGGCATAAACTGCTCTAATGATACACCAACCCACAATCAATTCTTCGCGAGATGGATTTCGAAGAAACTGAACGCTATTTCTGAACAAAGAACGTGACCTCTCTAATCACTTTAGTTTCCGAGAAGTGCGAAATGGGAACGGGATTCATTTAAAAGCTGGAAACGAATCTAGTTAATTCGAAAAGAGACAAAACTGTAAACCAATGTTCTTGTATCATGAATTAATTAACACTACAAAGTTTTCATATCCATGCCAAAATTTAGACATTACTGAATAAAACCGAATGAACTTAATTAATTCATTCATTCGTCACCTCCAGACTCTAGATAAAAATTTTCACGTCTGTGAACTATAAAAATAAAGTGCAGTTATAAATTTAGATATCAAACGTTACTATCAAACACTATAAAAAAATACTAAATAAAAATTTGTCAGACATTTTCACGAACATGATCAACAATGGAGATTAAAAGGATACTAAACTCACCAAACGTTAAAAGCTAACAAAGCATAAAGCAAGTAATCAAATTTGTCATCTCGGTACTAAACTCTTTAATTTGATTTTAAGTAATTTTACTTTTATTTGATGTTAACAGTGATATTACTAAAAATGACAAACATTATGCATTTGATTGTAAAATTTAAGTTAAAATAAATTCTTCCAGCACCCCGAAGTTTTATTAAAACAATCATTATTTTTGTCATTAACAATTAATTCTGAAGAGAATTTAAGGCTACGAAAAAGCAATTAATTTTTATCATTTTTTATCGCTATCAAGTTTATTTTCGACTGAAGCAAAGTTCTTGATTGTGATGGAAATGAGATTTCAACGAATATAAAGTTGAGTATTGTGTAAAATGTGAACACATTATCAAGTCTCCAACATCATTATTCCATACTATGTTTGTACCTGTTACGAGTATCAATTATATCAACGTCAGTATATACTTTTGATAGGTACCTAATTGTGTACAGCCGAACAAAGTGAAAATGACGCTTCAATAAACCAGCCCCTGCTGTGGATGCCCTCCACGATGTCGACCCTTCTAACCGCAAGCAGACAGGATTATATATTATCGGATTACAAACTTGACGTAGACTCAAGATAAATAAATTCCTTTAGGAGCCGGTTAAGTAAAAATGTAATTTTTTTAATTTCTTGAAGAAAATTATGCATTAACGATGACATTGACGAAAAAATAAATCATTATTAATGTAACAAATTTTTTAACTGTTTTTCAAAATAAAATTATT